TCTGAGGCCTAGTTTGGTGGCGAGGAAGGGCTGGGGAGAGCCGGGGACAGGCAGGAAGATCTCACTCAGGTGAGGACATCACCTCTCTCTCCACAGCACACACCCTTCTGTCCTTGGGAGCTCTGGGCCTGCCCTGCAGAAGGGCAGGGACCGCTAGCTGGGAGAATGTGGGAGGATCTGACATATAGTAGGTGCTCAATAAATGTGCATAGAGAAAAGGGAAAGAGGCTGGGTGCGGTGGCTCACGCCTGTAATCCTAGCACTCTGGGAGGCCGAGGCAGGCGGATTGCTCAAGATCAGGAGTTCAAAACCAGCCTGAGAAAGAGCGAGACCCCGTCTCTACTATAAATAGAAAGAAATTAATTGGCCAACTAAAAATATATATAGAAAAAAATTAGCCAGGCATGGTGGCACATGCCTGTAGTCCCAGCTACTCAGGAGGCTGAGGCAGGAGGATTGCTTGGGCCCAGGAGATTGAGGTTGTTGTGAGCTAGGCTGACGCCACTGCACTCACTCTAGCCTGGGCAACAAAGTGAGACTCTGTCTCAAAAAAAAAAAAAAAAAAAAAGGAAAGAAAAGAAAAAGGAAAGGGAAACGGGGGAGGAGAGAGGGAACAGTGGCTGTAGTGGACTGCCACGTAGAGGGAAGGGCGTCAGTGTTGGTGAATGAGCCACTGAATGAGTGAGGAAGGCAGGCAGGATAGAGGAGTATGCGACTGGGAAGATGAGTGGACACCTGGTGGCTCTAAAGCTAAAGGAAGAGCCAAGAGTTCTTTAGTCGCCAACCTGCCCATTTGGCAGATGAGAAGACTGAGGAATGGCTAAGGAGAAAGAAAACTTTGGGGTCTATGGGGCTGGCCTTTGACGGGCAGCCTCTGGTCCACCCCACTTCTCTCTCTACCCTCTCAGCCCTTCTCTCCCCTGCTGGATGGGGGAGGTTCCAGGAAGGACGCCGTTTCTCCGCCTCCTTGCTCCTCTAGGCCCAGTTTCCACGTGGTGTTGGGGGTGGCAGGGAGGTGGTGGCCCCCGTAGGGGCTCTCTCAGTCAGAGACAGCCCTGCCAGGAAACAGAGGAAGCTGCCCGCCCCACCGGAGGTGTCGCAGCCTAGCTGAGGGCCAGAGAGTGAGGAGCCTCAGGTCTGGCTTCCCTGTGCCCGAACACACTTGGGACCACCAGCGTGCTGCAGGGACAGGCCAGGAGGCTGCACGTGAGTGTCGGTGTGTTTGGGGGCCATGGGCCAGTGTGGGGTGGCCTGGGGACAGCTGGACACAAGGAACTGTGACTTTGGGCAGGCAGGCTGAGTCCAGCGCTGACAGTTGGGAGGTCCAGAGGAAGGGATTCCACGCGGATGGGATCTGGCGCCTGATGGACACTGGGGACTTTGACAGGTAGATGGGGGGCGGTGAGTGGCACTTTGTGCAAAGGAAACAGCAGGATGGGGAGGCTGCAGAGGCATCTGGCTCTCCGGCTGCCTATGGCTGTGCGGCAGTCACAGTGTCTTGGGAATAGTGTGAAGACAGAGGAAGGGGTGAGAATGAGGGGCAGAGTGGAGTGGAGCTAGGATACTTTGGATGAGGCTGGAGGGCTTGGCAGGGGCCTTGAATGTCAGGAAAGGGGTTTGGGCTTTTCCCCAAAGAGCAGAGGGATGTAGGGAAGGATGTAGCCAGAGCCACTTGTTACAAAGCTCCCACCCCAGCAGAGTGGCTGGAGCCCAGGAAGAGGCTGGCATCTGAGCTAGTCCAGGACTTAAGACCCAAGAGCAGATGACAGATGTGACACCAGTGTCAGCTGCTACCCTGAGGTGGGAGCAGAGTGAGCCCTCCCTTGAGGCCAGCCCCTACGGGAACCGGGACAACAGCTCAGCGCTCCTAGGTCCTCAGAAGACAGAGCGGATGAGGGTGCCGGGAAGGGGAGGGAGGCAGCCAGCCTTTCCTGGCACAGCCTTTGGGTTTGCCCACAGGGCAGGACAGCTCCCTTCGTCCCCTCCTGCAGCCCCCTGCCTCCTTCCGAGAGGAAGGGGAGGCAGTCAACGGAGGACCTGTCTCACCAGGGAGTGCGGGGGACAGAAAACGACTGTAGTCTCCAGTCACCTGAGACAGAGGGCACTCCCTGGGGCTGGGGTCTGAGGGCAACAGGCCTCCCACAGGAAGGTTTAGGGACACAGCACCCTTCTACCCACTTTCTCCTCCTCACTGCAACGTCTGCCCTGGAAGACTCACCTCCTCTCAGACCCTGCTTGCCACACCTTCCTCCCACCCGGGTGTCCTTCATGGAAATCTTCCCGAACCATCCTTCATTCTCCTCTGAAAAGTCCCCTTCAGCCTGTGGCTCTCACTGGTCTCCTCCCTCAGACTGGTACATCTGTGGCTCTATTCCATCTGCATTCTGTGCCCTCATGTGTCCAGCAGGCCGTGAGTCCTCAGTAAATGCCTGGCATGTGAAAACAAGAGAATGAATGCGTGAATGAGAGAACAGCCTGACCCAATGAATGACAAGGTGAATGAACAGACTTCTCTTGCCTGTGTAATCCCAGCTTGCTGGCAACACTGTGGGGGACGCATGTGCTCCTTCCTCTGGCCTCCCTCCAGGGCCTGCCTCATCCTGGCTGGGCACCCGGCACTCCTAGCACATGGGCTGAAGCCTCACAAAGACTCGTTAATAAGGCCGGGCATGGTGGCTCACACCTGTAATCCTAGCACTCTGGGAGGTTGAGGTGAGAGGATTGCTCAAAGGTCAGGAGTTCGAAACCAGCCTGAGCAAGAGCCAGACCCTGTCTCTACTAAAAAAAGAAAGAAATTAATTGGCCAACTAAGAACATATAGAAAAAATTAGCCAGGCATGGTGGTGCATGCCTGTAGTCCCAGCTACTTGGGAGCCTGAGGCAGGAGGATTGCTTGAGCCCAGGAGTTTGAGGTTGCTGTGTTAGGCTGACGCCACAGCACTCTAGCCTGGGCAACAGAGTAAGACTCTGTCTCAAAAAAAAAAAAATCAAAAAACCAACAAAAAACCAAAAAAAAAAAAAAAAACTCTTTGATAACTAAAGGTGATATGGGGTTGTGGAATGCAGACTAAAGAATCCAAACATTACCATTTTGCCCAGAATTTAGGTAAAATAGTTTCATCACAATCAAATTTTAAGTTGGAAAGGAGTATGTTTTGCTCTAATACAAACTTTTCAAACCCCATAACCTTGCTTATTAGGTGTATTAAATAGCTGGCACTTGGCCCTGTTCCAGGCTCTGATCCTTGCAACAACCTCATGAAGCAGGTACTATCCCATTTTAAAGATGGTGAAACTGAGGCACAGAGGTTCCATAATGTGCCAAGACCACACAGCTCACACATGGCAGAGCTGGGATCTGAACCTGGGCATCTGGACAGGAGTCCGTGTACTTGACCTCAAGGCTTCACCACACACCTGAGTACATTTGCAGGGCTTTTTTTTTTTTTTTTCTGGGCCTTAGTTCTTCCCATCTATAAAATGGGAAGAGAGGAAGCTCAGACTATCTAAAAGGCTTTGCCTTTTAGGTCCATTGGATGTAAGTTGTAAATTCTCTGTAGACACCAATAATGTGGGAAAGTTAGTTTAGAGGCAAGTAACTAGGATTCAGACTTACTTTATCAGGGAACCCGTTAAGCCCTTGAGGCATTTGTGCTGCTGGCTTCCCCACAACCCACCCTGAAAAGATGAGAGGAGAGACAGGTATAGTATGCAATGGTATGACATGTATTGAGCACCTACTGAATGCCAGGTCCATGGCACATTTTACTGATGAGGACACTGGCCCAGAAAAGGCAAGTGACATGACCTGGGTCATACAGCATGAAAGTGGGAAAGCCAACATTTGAACCCAGGCCTGCCTAGCTCTGAGCTGAGCATGTAACCTCTACGTCCCATGTCCATGGGCGACACCAAGCTGCCTCCTCTGAATCAGGCAGTTGGGTTCTGTTTCTGACTCTGCTTCCAATCCACAAAGTAACGCTGAGTGGTCCCTCCCCCTCACACTGCTTGTATATCCTTCCCTGCAAAGTAAGTGGCTGCCTTGGTCCCTCAGCCGTTGGCTTTCAGCGAAGTTGTTTTCACTCTGGCCACCAGGGGGCGCCGCTGTCGTGCCAGTGGCTCTGCTAGACCCACCTTTGCAGACTCAAGTCCAGGGGAAAGAGGCGGTAGGGAACTCCTGAATCAACTCCTTCCTCTATTTAACAGAAAACCAGACTATGGACAAAAGAAGGGCCATGGATTTGGAAGGTGGAGTTCAGGCTGAGGAGGGCGCTGTCCACAGTGTGGACCATTCATACCGGTTAACTAAAAGTTATCAGGGCCCTGTCTGCCCCGGACCCCGAGACACACAGAGACACCAGACTCGGCATTTCTCCTCAGGAGGTTCCCCGTCTGGGAGAGACACACAGACCCACCATGATCACAATCTCCCCACCCCAGGGACCCCAGAAGCAGCTCTGGTTTCAAACTCCTGACCTTGAGCAATCCTCCCTCCTCAGCCTCCCAGAGTGCTAGGATTACAGGCGTGAGCCACCGCGCCCAGCCAGCATAACATACTTAGTACTTCTAACCTCACGACATCCTGGAGAGGTGGGTGCAGCATTTCCCTGTCTCTGAGAGAAGGTAAATCACTACCCAAAGGTCACAGAGCTGATCCACACAGTTGGGCTTTAAACCCAAGTCCATCAACCTCTACTAACACAGAGAAGGAGACATATGACCAGGCTTTTGAAGCATGAATAGAAGTTCACTAGGAAGGCTAAAGGGAGATGACTACAATAGAAAGAAAGTAAACTGGATTTCTCCCAAGCTTGAGCTTTATTGTACTCCAGGTTTCCTTGAAGCAGGAGCTGTGTGGGGCCTCCATGGGTGGTGAATATAAGAGATGACAAAGTCGGTGCCCTCACTATTCAGATGGGGAGATCGAGGCCCAGAGAGGGACAGCACCTATCAGGTGGTGAGTAAGCATGTCACTGACAGGTTGTGTTTTGCTTCGCCAGCCTCTCCAAATGTAGGAAACCCAGCTGGGCAGCCATGGAGTGGGACAATGGCACAGGCCAGGCTCTGGGCTTGCCACCCACCACCTGTGTCTACCGTGAGAACTTCAAGCGTCTGCTGCTGCCACCTGTGTATTCAGTGGTGCTGGCGGCTGGTCTGCCGCTGAACATCTGTGTCATTGCCCAGATTTGCACATCCCGCCGGGCCCTGACCCGCACGGCCGTGTACACCCTAAACCTGGCCCTGGCCGACCTGCTGTATGCCTGCTCCCTGCCCCTGCTCATCTACAACTACGCCCAGGGTGACCACTGGCCCTTCGGTGACCTCGCCTGCCGCCTGGTCCGATTCCTCTTCTACGTCAACCTGCACGGCAGCATCCTCTTCCTCACCTGCATCAGCTTCCAGCGCTATCTGGGCATCTGCCACCCACTGGCCCCCTGGCACAAGTGCGGGGGCCACCGGGCTGCCTGGCCTGTGTGTATAGCCGTGTGGCTGGCTGTGACAGCCCAGTGCCTGCCCACAGCTGTCTTTGCTGCCACAGGCATCCAGCGTAACCGCACCGTCTGCTACGACCTGAGCCCGCCCGCCCTGGCCGGCCACTACATGCCCTACGGCATGGCCCTCACGGTCATCGGCTTCCTGCTGCCCTTTGCAGCCCTGCTGGCCTGCTACTGTCGCCTGGCTCGGCGCCTGTGCCGCCAGGATGGCCCCATGGGGCCTGTGGCCCAGGAGCGGCGTGCTAAGGCGGCCCGCATGGCTGTGGTGGTGGCAGCCACCTTTGCCATCAGTTTCCTGCCTTTCCACGTCACCAAGACAGCCTACCTGGCCGTGCGCTCCACACCAGGTGTCTCCTGCCCCGTGCTGGAGGCCTTTGCAGCCGCCTACAAAGGCATGCGGCCCTTCGCCAGCGCCAACAGCGTGCTCGATCCCATCCTCTTCTACTTCACCCAAAAGAAGTTCCGCCAGCGGCCGCGGGAGCTAATATGGAAACTCACGGCCAAATGGCAGCGGCACGGCCACTGAGTCCGCCAGGGCAGGACTCCCAGGGCCCGGGCAGCTGTCACATTTGCCATTGTGGCCAGGCCACCAGCAGCCCCACCAAACCCAAGCCATGCAGAGAACTAGAGCTCAGCTCGGCTGGCATGGAGTAAGGTCCCTCACAGACCCCAGGACCTCACCAACAACTATTTATTGAGCCCTTTCTCTGGACCAGGCCCTATGGGCACAGTGACAGACTGGCCTGCGCCTGACTCTTGCGAAGCCAGCCATGGAGAGCTGGGGAAATCATGCTAAGCTGCTCACAAAAATATGGTCTGACATGTAAACAAGGGGCGTGCCTCATGCTTTGGAGTCACCAATGAAGTGGGTGAGGGAAGATGGGAGGAAGAAGTGATAGCTTCTGGAAAGGGGCATTTGAGCTGGGTTTTGAGGGATGACTATGAGCTCTTGGGGTGGCGGGAGTGATATTCCATTTACTCAGTAAACCTTTGCTGACACCTGCTCAGGCCTGGGTTGGTTCTGGGGCCCTAGCCCTACCCCATAGAGGCTCCCAACTGCTGGCTGCATAGACTGACACATCATCAGGGCTGTGACAGAGGGAAGCATGGCTGGGGGGGTGGTGCCCGGAGGATGTCAGGAAAGACCTCTCTGAGGAGGGAGCATCTGAGCCAGGAGTCAAAGGCTGAGCAGGAGCTCAGCAGACAGAGCGGGGAGCACAGTGCAGCCTGGGCCAGCCTCCTGCGGGGCTCTGCCCTGGGGCAGATAAGCAGAGGGCTAGGGTGGAGGATGCTTGTCTCCATGTGCACCAAAGCTGAGAAAACAAGAGCTGTCTGTCCCACAGCCACCTCCAGACAAGGGCAAGAGTTGGCAAGACACGTCCCGGGCTGTGGGAGCTCAGCGGAGGGAGGAATGGGGGGCTTTTTATAAGAGGTAGGGCTTGAGCTGGGAAGAATGTAAAGAGCAGAGAGAGTGGAGTTGCTCCTGGGGGAAGGCACAAAACCCGGAGGGAGGAATGAGCTGAGCATGGCTATAAAGTGACACTGAGTTTCCATGAAACCTGGGGGTCGGGTGTGTGGAGGGGGGCTGCCAGAGCACAAAATGCTAGGAAGAGCCCCAAACCCACCTCTCCTTCACCCACCTCTTCGAATGTGGCTCTTTCAACCTTGGGGGATCCTGTGTCTGGGGTACCTCCACCAGGCCTCCAAGTGATGGGACATAGCCCTGCAGCATTGCTTCATGCTAAAAGGAGAAGCCAGCAGCTGAGGAGACTCAGAGCCACCAGAGGGCTGCCACATGGAGGTCCCATGGCTGAGAAGCTGTTAACCAGTCTTATGACAGACTGTTCCCGCTGTGTCCCACCCCTGCCCTCTCAGGTCCATCATTCTGACCTGTGGGTGTCCGGAAGGCTGACTTGAAGCCATGTTGTATAGACACATCTCAAACACAGATCTGAGCCATAAAACATTTTGGAAAGGCATCTTTATTGAGGGTCTCTGGAGGAGGTAGCAAAGAGGAGTTGTAGCACCCAAGAATCCTCTTCCCCTCTGAGCACTGCCCCAGTCCTTATTCCCTCCTCCCAGATCTGTCTTTCACATGTAGAACAATCTAGCCAACTGCTCGCGCCACACACAGACCCCATAAGTGAAAGGACTAGCCATGGCAGAGTCTTCCTTTGTAGAAGGTAAGGCCGGAGAGGGAAGTGCAGGGGACAGAGCAGGGCAGGGAGTACTATATAATTTACACAATGTTCTTTTAATGCTGCCTAGTCCCCAAGGCTGCTGGGGACCAGGGCCATTCAGACCAGGGCTTTGGAGAAGTGAAACTCCATAGTAATGTCAGAGGCATGTTTGCAGCTGGCCCAGGAAGTGTGGAAACCAGGCCCAACCCACCCTGGGAAAACATCCAAGGTGTCCTTGCTGGAGAGACTGACCATTTGGACAGAAGGAACTTTGACTCTTTTGACCACAGTGAGATAGGCATGTGGGAACATTAGGAGACAGAGGCTGGTTCTTACTTCCTGTGCGGTGAAATGCCACGCCAAGCAGGACAAATAGCACACACCTGGCATCTAGCCCCGAGCCTGAGACAGTCTCTGTGATTGCTTGGGATGGGGGCACCGAGGGGAGAGTGAAGCAGGAGTCAGGGGCCTCTGCCCACAGCCCAGCTGAGCCCTGTAGAGTCCCCGATGACTGCCCCAGCCAACTACCAAGAGCTGTGACCCTTTGGTTACTTTTCTGGGAGTGGAAATTGTGGCCTACAGGTAAATTCCATTCCCAGCTTCCCTTTGCAAGCAGAATAGCATGGAGGGTACAGACTCCAGAGCCAGACCTCCTGGCTGTGTGTCCAGGCTCTACCATTTATTGCTACTCTGGGCAAGTTATTTAATATCTTTGTGTCTCAACTTCCCCAAGTATAAAATGGGAAAAACGATACTTGTAAAGTTGTGAGGATTAATTAATATGTGCAAAGTGCTCATTAATAGAAAAACTCCTGGAAGATAATAGGCACACAATGAATGTTACTATTATAATTATTTTGCCTTTTTGGAACACAAGTTCCTCTAGGTTCCCTCTCTAGGAATAGGCATGGGGGGTCCTAAAAAGGGGGTGTTACGTAGGGGGTTGCAATCATTTTTTTTTCTCTCTTACCTAAAAGGCAGCGTGATCTTTTAAGAAAAAAAAAGTTCAGCCGGGCGCGGTGGCTCACGCCTGTAATCCTAGCACTTTGGGAGGCTGAGGCGGGCGGATTGCTCAAGGTCAGGAGTTCAAAACCAGCCTGAGCAAGAGCGAGACCCCGTCTCTACTATAAATAGAAAGAAATTAATTGGCCAACTAATACATATATATAAAAATTAGCCGGGCATGGTGGCGCATGCCTGTAGTCCCAGCTACTCGGGAGGCTGAGGCAGCAGGATTGCTTGAGCCCAGGAGTTTGAGGTTGCTGTGAGCTAGGCTGATGCCACGGCACTCACTCTAGCCTGGGCAACAAGCGAGACTCTGTCTCAAAAAAAAAAAAAGAAAAAAAAAGTTCATCACACTTTTTTGAACATAAGGACCATAATCCACGAGTCCCATCTGTTCCTATAAGAAGGAAAAACCATTTATTTTATATGCCAGTGCCCAGGACTCTAAGTGCTGTCTGGGGGCTTGATTTCCCCCTTCCCCTCTCCTTCCCTTTGTCTCTTTCCTCTTCCCTGCCTTCTCTCTCCTCTCTCTAACCCAGAGCACACTCAGTGGAGGGTGGGGGGCGGGGGCTTACCTGGGGATGTTCTGCCTGCTGGGGTGGGAGACAGAGGGGACACAGAGGTGTGGAGGTAGAGGGTGGTGAGCGGACAGGGGACCATGCAGGTTCCAAGGGGTCCAAGGTGACTTTCCTGTTGGTTGGGGAAGACTTCCCTGGGGATGGAGCAGGGAACTGGGTTGTTTTTTTTTATTATTAATTTTTTAATATATTTTTTATAAATATTAAAAGTTATTTATTTCTTTTTATTTTCTTTATTTCACTTTTCTGGCAAATTTGGGTAGGGAACTGGGTCTTAAAGGATGGAAGTACCTGGACTGAACAGGGGGTAAGGGTGCTTCTGGTCAGGGAACAGCACAGGCAAAGGCATGGGGGCTGCTGGAAGAGGGGTAGGAGGGGTAGTGGCTGCAGATGAAGCTGGAGAGTGACGGCCTTGGGTGCCAGGCCAGGGAAGCACTGGGGCACCATAACTGTGACAGCAGTGACCATTTACTGGGCCCTGCAAGTTCCAGGCACTATGCAATGTGCTTTTTTTTTTTTTTGAGACAGAGTCTCACTTTGTTGCCTAGGCTAGAGTGAGTGCCGTGGCGTCAGCCTAGCTCACAGCAACCTCAAACTCCTGGCTCAAGCAATCCTCCTGCCTCAGCCTCCCAAGTAGCTGGGACTACAGGCATTCGCCACCATGCCCGGCTAATTTTTTGTATATATATTAGTTGGCCAATTAATTTCCTTCTACTTTATAGTAGAGATGGGGTCCCGCTCTTGCTCAGGCTGGTTTCGAACTCCTGACCTCGAGCAATCCGCCCGCCTCGGCCTCCCAGAGAGCTAGGATTACAGGCGTGAGCCACCGCGCCCGGCCTGCAATGTGCTTTATACACATTTTCTCATTTACTCCTTATTATAACTCAGATAGGGAAACTGAGGCCCAGATGTGAGAACTGACTTGCCAAAGTCACACAGTCTTTCTCTAACCCAGATACTAAATCCCCCCCTCCTTTCCCTTTCCTTTCTTCACCTGGCATCCAAATGCCCACCTTCCCTGTCCGGTCTCCTTTCTTGGCACCCCAAAGTGTGGCAGAGGCAGCTGGGTGCCAACCACAATATTAGTTCTCCCCCTTTAGCTGGCGCATGGCTTCCTAGGATGAAAACTCCATTTCCCAGACTCTCTTGCAGCTAGGTATAGCCAGTTCATTTACTCCTGGTTAGTGGGATACAATCAAAGTGCCCTAAGCCAGTTTAATATGGGGAGCGGGGAGGACCTTTAAGAGATCTGCAGTGTCTTTGCCGCCCCGGTCCCTTCTTGTTGCTGACAAGGTGGATGTGACAGCTGGAGCGCCATCGTGGGCCATGAGAGCAGGGGCTCCTTCTACGGCTGGTGAAGCAGGAAGCTGGAAACAGCTTGGGCCTCCAACCATTCCATCTGGGGGTCACCTAAATCCAGACTTTTGCATGAAAAAGAAATAAATGTCTGTCCTTTTTAAGCCACTAGTTTTTCAGACCTTTGTTACCCACAGCCAAAACTAATCCCTTTACTCGGGTTCTATCCTGAGATGGTGGGCCTTAGGTGGAGGCCAGGTGGCAAGCTGGGTGGGAGCTAGGAGTCAACAAGGTCTGGGGACACCCAGGAAGGCTTCTTAGAAAAGGCACAAAGCACGGGGAAGGGTCAGCTCCAAACTGGCTGGAGGCTGATGGGGCAGACATGCTTCCTGAGGGAGAGAGTGCCTGGGTAGAGTCCTGGGAACTCCAACATTAGGAGGAGGAGGTAGAAGACAGGAGCTTGGGGGGTCTCTAAATGAAGGTGGCATGGCAGGGCAGTGGAGTCGGGTGAGTGAGGGGGGATGGAGAAGAGGAAGTGGGGGTGGTAAGTGAAGAAAAGAGAAGAAGATTCTGAGGGGGCCAAGTCCAGGGAAGGAGTTTCTAGAACAAAGCCCTTAAAGTGTGGGTTATTGGCAGTTGAGGACAGGGAGCCAGAGAAGTGGAGTCAAGGATGGGGGAAGGCTGTGCGTGGTGGCTCACACCTGTAATTCTAGCACTCTGGGAGGCTGAGGTGGGCGGACTGCTCCAGGTCAAGAGTTCAAAACCAGCCTGAGCAAGAGCCAGACCCTGTCTCTACTATAAATACAAACAAATTAATTGGCCAACTAATATATATAGAAAAAATTAGCCGGGCATGGTGGCGCATGCCCATAGTCCCAGCTACTCTGGAGGCTGAGACAGCAGGAGTGCTTGAGCCCAGGAGTTTGAGGTTGCTGTGAGCTAGGCTGATGCCACGGCACTCACTCTAGCCTGGGCAACAAAGCACGACTCTGTCTCAAAAAAAAAAAAAAAAAAAAGCATGGGGGATCCAGAGAGCCAGGAATGAGGGCCTGTCTTGTGGAGATTCACCTCCCAAGCAAAGCCCAAAGGCACTTGGTCTGTCCTGGCAGTGGACGTAGGTGGCCCTTTCTTCCCTTGTTTATTTATTTAATAAACATTTGCCTCTGAGAGGAGCTCAAACCCAGACCCTACCCTCAGAAAGCATCCGGGGGGTTGAGGGCGCAGACAAAGAAACAGTTCATCCAGTAAACAGCATTTATTGAGCACCTACTGTATGCCAGTCATCATGCTGGGCAATAGGTCCCTGCCCGCAGGGAGCACATGGTCTGAGGGAGGAGACGGGCAATAATGAAATAAACGCATACACACCTGGACCATTACAGCTGGGAAGGAGAGCTCAGAACAACATACAGAGGGCCAGGCCCAAGGAAGGTCTCACTGGGGAGAGGATGAGCTCATGGAATGGTCAGCAGCTGAGCGATGCTGGGACCAGAGGGCCCTGACCTAGTTGAGGCACAAAGAAGTTTCCTTAGCTGAGGCCCAAAGGCCTCAGAGGCATCAGCTCAGGGCAGCAGGGCTGCAACAGAGTCTGTGACTTTGAGCTCCCTCACTCTTTTCAGCCTCTGTTTCTTTACCTATAAAATAGTGATAATACTACCAGCCCTCCCTAAGCCACCAGGGATAATGAGAATAGAAAAGTTAGAGCAAAAATTTCAGAAAATACTAAAAATACTATATCCCAATAGAAGAATGGGCAAGAGGCACCAACAGGCACTATGGATTAACAGAAATGCAGGTGATCAGAAAACACAGAAGAGATATTTGATCCCAGCTTGGCAATCCCTCCTAATGTTGAACAGTTGCATGCCCTGGGCCAGAGCATTTCTGTCCATGTGCACCTGGAGTCATGCTTGACACTTAGCAAACACCTGGAAACACCAAAATGCACATCAACAAGACAATGGATCAATACACTGTGCTATATTCACATATTGGAATACTCCACGCTGCCAGGGTGCTATACCAACATGCAACAATATAGATAAATTGTAGCAGTATAATATTAAGAAAAAAGAAATCCCCCAAAATTACATGGAACAAGATAGCCTCTTTATAAAGTTAAAAACAATTAAAATGAAAATATATAGGAAGGAATATGTAGATGCAATAAAACCATATAAAAAGGAAAGGAAGAGAATGCCAAACACAGGATTTTTTTTTTTTTTTTTTTTTTTTTGAGACAGAGTCTCGCTTTGTTGCCCAGGCTAGAGTGAACCTCAAACTCCTGGGCTTGAGTGATCCTTCTGCCTCAGCCTCCCGAGTAGCTGGGACTACAGGCATGCGCCACCATGCCCGGCTAATTTTTTATATATATATCAGTTGGCCAATTAATTTCTTTCTATTTATAGTAGAGACGGGGTCTCGCTCTTGCTCAGGCTGGTTTTGAACTCCTGACCTTGAGCAATCCGCCCGCCTCGGCCTCCCAAGAGCTAGGATTACAGGCGTGAGCCACAGCGCCCGGCCCAAACACAGGATTTGAAATGATGGTTATCTAAGTGGTGGGACAGGCTGGACATGGTGGCTCACACCTGTAATCCTAGCACTCTGGGAGGCCGAGGTGGACGGACTGCTGGAGGTCGGGAGTTCTAAGTGGTGGGTCAGCAGGAAAATGGGTGGGAAGGGAACTATATAATGAAATGTAAGTTACGGTAAAAGTCCTAGTTGTATTGTTTTGGTTTTTGGTGAAAGCCAATTAAATAACTGATGAGAATGTATTATGAACAAAAGATTATAAATAATCCAATCCTGTGTGCTTTAGGCCTAACTGTATAGGAAAGGGGTCAATCTCAAATAGTTTCTATTTGGCTTTGGAATAGAGTCAAGAGCCAGACTGCCCCCTTAGACAGCTCCTTCCTGGAGCTTGTTGCTTCTGGGGGTCCCTTCAGTCGTCATCTCTCTCCCTCCTCAATACAGATGCTCCTTGGCTAACAATGGGCTTATGCCCCAATAAACTCATCATAAGTTGAAAATTCATTCAATACGCCTAACCTACCAAACATTGGCGCTTTGCCTAGCCTACCTTAAACATGCTCAGAACACTTACATTAGCATAGAGTTGAGCAAAATCATCTAACACAAAGCCTATTCTATTAAAAAGTGCTAAATATCTCGTGTAATTTATTGAACACTGTACTGAAAGTGAAAAACAAAACGGTTGTGTGGGTGCTCAAAATACAGTTTCTACTGAATGTGTACGCATATTTCATGTCACCTTAAAGTAAAAAAATCGTAAGTCAAACCATCATTTAAGTTGGGGACTATCTGTATCCAAAGCCCATCACTTGCCGTGACTGCGACCATCAAAACCTTCCCATATTGATTTCTGCAAGGGATTCTATGGCCCTGACCTCACTGGGTCAGCATGACTCACCAGGTAGAGGGGTTACTATTTTCATTCCCCTTTCATAGATAAGAAGCCCGAAGCCCAGAGAAAGGAGTGACCTACTGAGGGTCACTGGGCACATCTGCATGTGGGCCCAGCTTCAAAATCCCAGCCTAGGGTTTCTCTCTCCACTCTGGTATCCAGTGCTACCAGCCCTGCCCCCAGCCCAAGATGAGTCTTCTCAAGGTTGAAAACTTCCAGATGCCCTCTGTTCGTATGGGCTGGGGGGTAGGAGGACTCACAAAGCACTAGAAGTAACCAAGCCACTGTCTGCTTGGCTGAGCTTCCCTTTGGGAAGAGACCCAGCCTAGATCTTTAAACAGGCTCACTCCCCACCTCCCTCCCTCCTGCTCAAGGGGATTCCTGAGCCCAAGGCCCCAGCCAGTTCACCTCCACAGCCAAGCCTCAGGACCTCAGGACCATGGAGCTTGTGACCTGAGTCTCCATTCCTCTCCATCTGTTTGCCCATCTGTGATATGAGATGAAGATTTCTGTCCTAGAAGTAACAGGGAGGCAGAACATGACAGTGTGTGAAGGAGTCCGAAAAAGTACAAATTTCAGATGGTAGAGGCCATCGTTATGGGGGAGAGAGTGACTCCTGGAATGAGAGGTCCCCCATGCCCACACACATACCCCAAATCTTGCCCCAAAACAGCAGAAAGAAAAGACTAAAGGAGGTAAGAATCTGACTTCAAATGCCAGACTCAGAGATCACACCCGTGAGAAATCTGACCCACTCCTCACTTTTGAGAAGAGACAGCTGAGGCCCAGAGAAGCAGAGAGCTTCACCCAAGGCCCTGGAGCAAGGCACTGCAGAGAGACAGGAGGCCAGGCAGGGCAGGCTCCCTTCCTTGCCCACCAATCATCAGTTACTTAGTGAGGAGAGAGAGATTTATCTCTTGGCTCCCTGGAGGCAGAGCTGAGACAAAGTTGAGGTGAGGACTCACCTCAACTGGTCTCAACTCAAAGAGGAAGAACTTTCACCCTATAGAGATATCCCACAACACAAGGGGATGCCCAGAGGATAGAGAGTGAGCTTCCCATCTTGGGGGGTATGTGAGTAGCAAGCAGGATCTGGGGTCCCAGCCAAGTCCTCCCTCTCTCATGCTGTAGTCAGGCAATCCCGGAGTGTCTGCCATCCTTCACTACCCTCATCCCACCTCTCTCATCTGAGCCCGGCCTCTCAGCCTCATCCTGCCCAGCTACAATATTTGGGACTAGGATGGCAGCCGGGTTGTCTGGGCAAAGCACAGACTGCAGACCTAACTGTGTCTTGCCCTGAGGCCTTGCTACTGAGGGTGACCAGGCCTGAAGAAGGCTGGAGCAGGGCTGAGGGGACCACGGTCAGATCAGGTTATCCTCTGCTCCCAGGGAGGGTGAGCTCAGGCCCAAGGAGGAGGAGGAGGCTACTAGGGCCTCAAAGGAGAGAGAATCTCCTTTTTCACCAGGATCTGGGACCAAGAAGGCTGTCTGGAGCAGCACAGTGTTTGAAGCCCCTAAAATCTGATTTTAAGTCACAGCAGGAGCAGCCATTTCCTGACTTTGACTCTGGTCAAAGTTACTTCTTCATAACCCACAGGGAAACAGTAATAATATCTATCTTTAAGGTTGGTTCAAAGATTAAATAAAATAAATAATATTACCCATACATCCTAGCCATTCCATAAATTTTCACTCATTCATTTAGAGGTAGGGTCCTGCATTTAAGATGGGTCTGGAAGGATGAATGGGATCTTGCAGAGGCCGGTGGGGGTGGGGAAGGGGATGATGACCCAATACCGAGAACAATGTGAGACTCACCAGACCCAGGCTGAAAGCGAGAGGAGCTCAAGGGCTGGATCAGAGCAGAGCCGAGCGGAGCAGGAGAAACGACCTACACCTTTCCTGCCAAGAAAGGTGGAGCAGCCACAGGTAGGAGTGTAGATTTGGCAGTGGGAACTCGAAGGCGTTCCCGTCGAAGCTCCTTTTAGGCCTAAGGAAGGGCAGTCTGAAAAGACTACGGAAACTATTGAAAGGAAATGAAGTTCTCCTAACTCCAGTTTTTAAGGGTGGGCGCTGCTCTATCTCCCCGTGGGTTGGGAAAATCAGGCCGGTAGAGGGCGCAAGAGCCGCGTATCCCGAAGCGTGAAGAAAGAGAGGGGCGGGGCGGTGGGCGGGGCACCTAGAGAGGAGCCGCCGAGACGGCGGGGGCAGGTGGGAGGCGTGGCGGCAGGAAAAATAGGGGTGGGGGCGTGGCATGAAGGGTGGGGCGTCTGGAGCAGCGTGGGGCGGTCAGCTCTGGAAAAGCACCAGGGAGATGGGATCGGCCGGGCGTTTGGGAGAGTGAGAGGCGGGGTATGGGCGTGGTTACCACGGAATTCGCGGCAATGGCTGGGCAAGGGGCGTGGCCTGGGCGGGGTAGAGGGCGGGTCTGGGAGCGGAGAGCCCTCCAGTGGGCCACAGCTCCCCCTGGCGCCCGGTCCCACCCCTTCCCGGCCAGGGAAAGGGTACCTGCGTGTACCTGGGTCTGTGTGTACGAGAGTTTGTGGGTCCGAGGTTGCCATGTTGGAGCCCCTCGGGCAGGAGGTGTTCGCTCGCCAAGACGGCCGAGCCGCGGTGCGCGCGCGGCCCGGGCTGCGCATCCGCGGAGCTGACCACACTCAGAGCTTGCGTGTGTCTGAGCGAGTCCCTGGGGCGCAGCTCGGCCCGCTGGGCTCCCGAGGGACTTCTCTGGAGGGTCACTTCGGCCTGCAAATGCTCAAGCAGTCTTGTTTCTTCTTCGGCTCCTCCCCGATCCCCTCCCACCACCCGGTTCCCAGCCTCGCGCGCGCCCGGAGCCCACCCCCTCTTTTGGGCGCGAGGCCCCGCCCCCCGCCCCCTTTCCTCTGCCACAAAGTTTATTTGCAACAAAAGGGAGCGAGGAGCGAGCAGCCAAGGGGGAGGGAGCGGGAGCCGGAGCGGGAGAGCGAGGGGAGGCAGGCCGCCGCCGGGCGGGCGCAGAGCCGAGGAACCGAGCGCTGGGATCCCGCCCGGGCACAGCCGCGATGCCTCGGGTCGCTCCAGCCGAGGTGGGGGCTGGCCCTGGGGGTCGGCGCTGAGGCGGGGGGAGCCGCTGGGGATGGAGCCGATGCTTCCTGCGGCCGCAGAAACTTGAGCCGCGGCAGACAAACCTCTGCTCTGGTCTCTGCGCGCTCCTCACGAACCCCCGCGCGCTGCTTCGGGCGCAGAGCCGCTGCGCTCCTTTGCAGCGGGGGCGCAGGGGGGGTTGGCCGCGGCTCCCCGAGGCCAGCCCCCCCGGAGTGAGTGCTGCCACCATGGCGGACGGGGCACCCCGGCCCCCGCTTTATCGCAGCGTCTCGTTCAAGCTGCTGGAGCGCTGGAGCGGCGGGCCTGGGCTGAGGGAAGAGGACACCGACACCCCCGGGTTGCGGCGCCGCGCCTCGTGCCGGCCTACCACGGCAGTCCCGGGACAGCCCTCTCGGCGCGTGTCCAAGCTGGCGTCGGGGCCCCCGGCCGCCTCCGCGCAGCCGCGCCCGCTCCGCAGCCTCTCGCCGTCGGTGCGCCAGCTCTCCCGGCGCTTCGACGCGCCACGTCTGGAAGACGACTCCGCTGGGGCCCGGGACGGGGGCGTCTTCCCTGGGGCCGCGGAAGAAGCGGCCGAGAGCGCCGCGCGCGGGGCCTGGCCCAGCGTCACCGAGATGCGCAAGCTCTTCGGCGGCCCTGGCTCCAGGAGGCCCAGCGCCGACTCTGAGGCCGCGGGCACGCCCAGCCCCGACGGTGCCGCGTGGGAGCCCCTGGCTCGGGAGCCCCGGCAGCCACCGACGCCACCTCCTCGGACGTGCTTCCCCCTGGCGGGTCTGCGTTCGGCGCGACCACTGACCGGGCCGGGGGCCGAGGGGAGGCGGCGGCGGCAGCAGCAACAGCAACAGGAGCGGGCTCAGCGTCCGGCGGATGGTTTACATTCTTGGCATAGCTTCTCCCAACCGCAGGCCGGGGCCCGGGCCTCCTGCTCCTCCTCCTCCTCGATCGCCTCCTCCTATCCTGTCAGCCGCAGCCGGGCTGCCAGCTCCAGCGAGGAGGAAGAGGAGGGCCCACCGCAGCCGCCTCGGGCACAGAGTCCGGCCTACCACGGCGGCCACTCCTCGGGCAGTGAGGAGGACCAAGACGGTGAGGGCGGCCACCTCTGGGAAGGGAGGCCGGGACTCAGGCCTGGAAACTCCCTGTTGGATCAGGACTGCAGGCCTGACAGTGATGGGTTAAATCTGGGCAGCATGGACTCAGCAGGGGGAGCCAGGAGCCCCGAACCCCCAACATCTCCAAGAGCCCCTAGAGAGGAAGGACTCCGGGAGTGGGGTCCCCCGCCCTGCGTCCCAGGTCCCCAGGAGGGACTGCTGCCTATGTCTGACACCGTAGGAGGAGCTTTCCGTGTGGCCAAGGTGAGCTTTCCAGCGTACCTGGCCAGCCCCACAGGCTCCCGTGGTAGCAGCCGTTATTCCAGCACAGAGACCCTCAAGGACGACGACCTGTGGTCTAGCCGGGGTTCTGGGGGCTGGGGTGTGTACCGCTCCCCTAGCTTTGGAGCCGGGGAAGGGCTCCTCTTGCGGTCCCAGGCTCGAACCCGTGCCAAGGGACCTGTGAGTACCACCAGACCGTTGAGGGATGGAGGATTAGAGCTGGACAAGAGCCGGCAGCGGAAGTCCCTGTCAAATCCAGATATTGCCTCAGAGACCCTGACACTGCTCAGTTTCCTGCGCTCAGACCTTTCAGAGCTGAGGGTCCGAAAGCCTAGTGGGGGCCCAGAGGACCATGGGAGCAACCCCCTAGATGACAGAGACTCACCATCAGCAGGTGACCCTGTGGGACAACTTGGACCCATGCCCACCCCAGCCCCAGCATCACCTGGCACCCGCCCCACACTCAAGGACTTGACGGCCACCTTGCGGAGAGCAAAGTCATTTACCTGCTCTGAGAAGCCCATGGCCCGCCGGCTGCCCCGTGCCAGTGCCCTGAAGCCCAGCTCCTCTGAGCTCCTGCTGGCAGGCCCTGGTGCCGAGGAGGACCCACTGCCCCTCATCGTCCAGGATCAGTATGTGCAGGAGGCCCGGCAGGTTTTTGAGAAGATCCAGCGCATGGGTGCCCAGCAGGATGATGGAAGCGATGTGCCCCCTGGAAGCCCTGACTGGGGAGGGCATGCAACCCAAGGGCAACGGTCTCAAGAAGAGCTCTCGGGCCCTGAGTCCAGCCTGACAGATGAGGGCATTGGGGCAGACCCTGAGCCCTCTGTTGCAGCCTTTTGTGGCCTGGGTACAACAGGAGTATGGCGACCCCTTTCCTCATCTTCAGCCCAGACAAACCACCATGGCCCCGGAACTGAGGACAGTCTAGGTGGGTGGCCATTGGTGTCCCCTGAGACCCCTCCCACACCAGGTGCCCTCCGCCGGCGACGAAAAGTCCCACCTTCAGGTCCTGGTGGGACTGAACTGAACAATGGGGAGGCAGGTGAAGCTTATAGGTCCCTAAGTGACCCAATTCCACAGCGACACTGGGCTGCCACCTCTGAGGAGCCCTCTGGGTTCTCCATGGACAGCAACCTCCTGGGCTCACTGAGCCCCAAAACTGGGCTCCCAGCGACCCCAGCCGTAGATGACGGCTTGACCAGTGGTCACAGTGATTGGTCTGTGGGCAGTGAAGAGAGCAAGGGGTACCAGGAGGTTATTCAAAGCATTGTTCAGGGGCCTGGTGCCTTGGGGTGTGTGGTGGATGACAGGGTTGCTGGCAAAGCCCCCAAGAAGAAATCTCTGAGTGACCCCAGCCGCCGTGGGGAGCTGGCTGGGGCTGGATTCGAGGGCCCTGGAGGGGAGCCCATCCGAGAAGTTGAGCCCATGCTGCCTCCGTCCAGCAGTGAGCCCATCCTTGCAGAGCAGTGGGCAGAGCCAGAAGAGCCTAGTCCTGCTAGGGGCCGAGCAAAGTCTGAGCGGGCTCTACCTGAGGCCCTGCCTACCTCCACTGCCCACCGGGACTTTCACCTTGACCCCAAGCTGGCTGACATCCTGTCCCCGAGGCTCACTCGCCGAGGCTCCAAGAAGCGCCCAGCTCGGAGCAGTCACCAGGAGCTTCGGAGAGAGGAGAGCAATCAGGACCAGACTGGTGGCCTGTCTCGGACCCAGCCATCCTCCAAACATGTTCGCCATGCCAGTGTGCCCGCCACCTTCATGCCTATCGCGGTGCCTGAGCCACCAACTTCTGTTGGCCCACCTGTGGCTGTGCCGGAGCCCATGGGCTTCCCTGCCCGAGCCCACCCCACATTGCAGGCACCATCGCTTGAGGATGTTACCAAGCAGTACATGCTGACCCTGCACTCGGGCGAGGTCCCTGCCCCAGTGCCTGTGGACATGCCCTGCTTGACTCTGGTTGCACCACCCTCTGCAGAGGCCAAGCCCCCTGAGGCAGCCCGGCCTCCTGAGGAGCCTGCCCCAGCCATCAAGTGCTGCAGCAAGCCACAGGTGGTGAGTCCTTGGTGGGAGGGCTTCGGGATGGGGCTGAAGAACACTCCTTGGGCACTGACTTCCATGGAGCCTTTTACAGTGTACTCTTGGGGCAAGTGACCAGATCCCAAGGGTGCTTATCTGGTCCTGGAAGTGCCCAGTCAGTTTTAATAGTGTTAATGACACAAGGCTCCGTTTACTCAGGGCTTGTAGAGATTTCGGGCTTCTGCTGGTGCTAATGTCAAAGGTGCTTGTCTGCCCCAGGTGTTCTGAGTGATAGTTACAAAGGATTCCTGTCTTGCACCCAGCACAGGCTCAGTCCTTCTCCGAGCCTTGCTGCTCTGTTGGCCAGACCCCTTATAGGATGTTTGGCCTGGAGGCCCACAGTTGACATGAGTTTGCCCTTCCTCTTGTGGCTTTCCTATGACAGGTCAGAATGTAGGGCTATTCCTGGCCCTGAGAGAATTGGGGAGGTACAAGGCATTACTTTATGGAGTAGCAGAGAGGGGTCAGGATTCGAATTCCAGCTCTGCCCTTGCTGTGTGACATTGGCCTTTCTCTGTGACTTAACTTCCCCATCCATAAAATTGGGAAAGGGAGCATAAACAAAGTGGTGCCTAAGTTTCCATCCAGCTGGTACTGTGCAGATTCATGGGAGTCTACCGGTTTGAGTTGAGGCACACTTGGACCCTGAGGTCTGCTATAGCTTCTTCAGATTGGGACAGCTTCTAGATGGGGGCTCCTAGGGGAGGGTAGAGTCAGCGGGTGGGCTGCAGAGGCTGAGCAACCAGGGTCCTTTAGAGAGGTCCAGAGTGGTTCTGGACGCCACAGGCAGGGCTGCTTCTATGGGTCGGGGAGGGGTATGTGTTCTGGTCCCACATCCTGCCTGCTTGCATCTTCTCCCCTCCCCACCCCCTTCCTGGTGGCTCTTGAGATGCTCCCCACTTTCTGCCATGCCACAGGGCTCACTCTCCCCTAAGCCCCCACTTCTACCTTCTGGCTTCAGCTATCCCTGGAGTTTTGCCTGTGGTTTCAGATGGGTTGTAGGCAGCATAGGCCCTGGAATCTGGATTAGGGGGTAGATTCTAGGCTCTGGGTCCTGCTTGGGTTATTTCCACTGCGGCCTGCACTCCCACTGTGTTCCCCGACTGTGTGAGAAGCCTGGAAACCCTAAACCCTGGACTAATTTGGTCACTCCAGTTCCCAGCGCTCTCACGGCCCCTCTGAACTCCTTTTCTCTTTGTTTTCCTCTCCTTGTCTCTAGTTCCCCCTGGTCCTGGCTCTGGTGTTTCTCATGGAGGCTGCAGAGAGTGTCAGCAGGCAGGGAGTGGGGAGAGGGGGAATTTGGGACCTGTCCTTCCTTCTGAGACCCTATTAGGGCAGCTTGGGTGCCCCTAAACTCCAGTGCCAATTCTGTCTTTGGAAGGTGGGGGAGAAGATGGGGAGAGCAGGGGCAGCTCCTGCCAGGGAGCTTCTTCCTAGCTTCCTTTCCCATATAATTACCTTCTCTGGGAGCCTTGAAAGCTCAGCTGGGGGACAGGGCAGGAGTGAACCATGGGACTCAGAGACTGGGGGTGGGAAGGAGTGTTCCTAAGTAGAGGCACTGAGACCCAGAGAGGAGGTGGGAGTTTTTACAGAACTGGCTCCTGCCCCACCTCCCTTCTCCCTTCACATTCTCCCCCGACCCCAGGGGGCTCTGAGGTGGGACAGGCTTCTCCCCGCCTTGCATGGAGGCTTTCTCTGGCCTCTAAGTCTTTGCTCACTCCAGTCCTGCCACTTTTCCAGGCCCAGATTGGTGTCCCCTCTTACCCCTCAGGGGGGAGAACTGGTGAGTCTATAATTAAAAGAGCAGGGTTTGAGCCTTGACTGCAGATCCCTGTGTGGCCTAGGAGCTGTCACATCCCTACTCTATGCCTTACTTTCCCTTTCTGTAAAATGGGGACAACGGTCTCTGCCTGGCAGGCTCTTGTACAGTGAGTGGGTGGTGTGATCATTTCCTCCCAGGGGCAGAAAAGAGGAAAAATAGCCCCTACTGCCCCAGCTGCTTGTCAGTGACCAGGCCTGGGACCTCCTCCCTGCCCTTCTGCTAGTTTGTGAGCACAGGGCTGGGTGCTTGGGGGCTGGGTGTAACCTGGTAAGCTTCAGTTGGCTCAGAAAAGATTCACCATCTCTTAATTTCCCACCCCCTCATAAAGCCTGGAAGTTCTTCCATCTGCTAGCCCAAATCCCTCCTGCTGTCCCCTTCCTTCTAACTCCAGGAAAATGGGGAGCAGCTGTCCACCCCCTCCTTCTGGCCTCTGTTGAGGAGACAATGTTCCCTTGTTTCAGGCCTGGGGCTCCAGTCATGCTCCCTGGGCCGTGGGTGGGGGTGACGTGGTGTGGGCTGTGAGAGAAGTTATCACTCTTTGCTTATAGGGCAGAAACCAGCGTGAACCTAGGCAGGGGCTGACAGGAGAGGCCGTGGGGGCTGTGGGGACCCCTGGCCCAACCCCAGGCTGTGGGGAGTCACTCACACTCAGGTCTTTCTCAGCCCAGAACCCATATTCACGCTCTGGGTGGTGTTGCCCCAGTGTTGGGAGGTGGGAGGCCTGGATACCAGGCCTGGATCGGTCTCTGAACTTTCTCTGACACCTGGACAGAGGTCTCTTTGGCCCTCAGTTTTCCCATCTGTGCAGTGGGAGCTTAGGCTGCCTGGTCTTTGAGGCTCTGTAGCAAGGACTCATCCTGAAGGGTGGTCAAGGGAAATGGGAGGAGTCAGGGGTGTAGGGGTGTGGTTGGAGGGGGAGGAGGGCAGCTTTCTGCAGTAGCTGTAAGAGCCTAGGAGTGCAGGGACTAAGGGACAGCTCCGGGGTAATTTGTTCCATGAACACTTGCTTGCCTGTGTGCTTGGAGGTGAGGAGACAGAGCTGTCTGGGCCTCCCACGCCCCTCGTTACTTCTACTTAAGCCCAAATAGCCTGGTTGATCAGCAACTCTTTGTGCCAGGGCTTCCTGCATTCTGGCCTTAAAGTACAGAGTCTTGTAGTCCAGCCTTCTGCCCACAGGTACCTGATACCCATTTGATACGTGCAACAACGATAGCCCAGATACAGGAAGTGACTCCGTCTCTCAGAGTCATGGATGGATGAACTCACAGAACTTTAGCCTGTTGGAATAGCAGTAACAATGGCTAATATTTATGAATGCTTACTATATGCCAGACACTGACTGTTTCATTCTTGGAACGTGAACGCTCTGGGTCTGTTTCACAGTGCGGGCTTAGACTCGGTTCACTGCTGAGTCCTAGCATATCTGTGTCTTAGAGGCGAAGGGCCTGAGGGATCCCTGTTTTACAGTGGGATTGGTTTGCCATGTGAGTAGGGAGGACAAGTTGCGGGACACTTGGGGGTGTCACCTGCATATCCCCAACATCCTGAACAATTTCATAGTGGTTATTTAATTCACCAGAGCCTGGGGTAGGGGTAGGAAAAACTTTGAGACCCAGAGAGGGAGAATGCTGAATCTGAGGTCACACAGCAAGGCTGGCGCAGAGCCAGGCCCAAGCACCAGAAGCCTGGCCTCGTTGCTCCCCACCCCCAGTGACAGCCCCCCACCCCCTGCTTGGCCAGCTCCCTGCCTTGCTGATGAAAGCTGGCAGCTCTTCCAATCACCCTTCTTCTCTCTGTCTCCCCTTGGCAGGGAACCCGCAGGGGTGGGGGCTCTGTCCTTCCCCTCCTTGGCTCTTTGCTGTGATTTTTCCATGGAAACTGGTTCTAGAGGGACGGGAGGAGGCGATTAGGACGCTTGGAATTCTGAGCAGTACCAAATATCTATAATTAAATGTCTTGTCACCCAGCAGGAGGGTGGGATGGAGGAGGACAGGCAGAGAGGGCTGTCCTGTTCCTCTGTTTATCCCCCCCAACTCCTTCCTAAGGGCCCTAGGCTGTTGGGGAAATGCTCTCCAGGAATGAGTCCACCCCAGAGAGGAAGGGTTGGGGGATGGACCAGAGTTGAGTCTGACATTTTCCAGCCTGTGTTTCCCAGACCAGCTGGTTTTGGGAGGCGGGGAGGCTGCTGCTAATCCTGTCCCCAGCCCCCTCTCCCCATGGAGGGACTTGCCCCTCCTGCTTCCCTCTCTCCCTCCCATCTGTGATCTCTCAGGCTACATATGCTACCCTGCGTGGGGTAGAGGCACCCCCAGGCTGCCTGGGAGCCATGGCACTCGGAGAGTTTAGGATCCAGAATCAGACTGGAAGGGGCTTAGGATGTTGAGAGACTAGCCTGGGGGCTGGCAGGGGGCCTTCCTAGAAGAGGCTGTGACTGAGCTTGGCCTTGAACACCAGAAGAAATGGAGGGGTTCTAGGAGGAGGACACAGCAATGAGCAGAGGCTAGAAGGTGGGAAAGAACCTGGCGAGTTGTATTTGTTTCAGGGACTTGGGTGGCCCTTGAAGGGTAATGCATTCATCCATTTAGCAGATACTTACCGAGCACCTAGATGTGTCAGGCCCTCTTCTAGGCTGGGATACAGCAGCAAACAAACAAAGGCCAGCCCTGCTGGAGCTTCCAGACTAGTGAGGAGACCTGTCTGTAAATGGAGACTTCATATGTCAGGGAGCAGTAGGGGCTGGGGAGAAAAATGAAGCAGGAAAAAGGAAGAGAGAATGACAGGGTGGAGGGACTATTTTAGATTGAAAGGGCTGGAAGGCCTATCTGAGGAGATGATGTTTGAGCAGAGCCCTGAAGAAAGCGAGGGAGCAAATCCAGTGGCTGTGTGAGGGGAAGAGCATTCTGGACTGAGAGGAGGAGCAGCAAGTGCAAAGGCCCTGAGGTGTCTGAGAAACAGTCAAGAGGACTGTATGGATGGAACAGAGAAGCAGGAGATCAGAGCTCAGAGAAGTGAGGGAGCACAGAGGTGGGTTAAGGAAACGAAGACCTTGTAGGCCAATAGGAGGACTTCAGCATTTACTCGTAGTGAGGTGGGGCAGACACTGTTGGAATGTTCTGAGAAGTGTTGGACTTCAGCATTTACTCGTAGTGAGGTG